CCTCTCTCTCTCTCTCTCTCTCTCTCTCTCTCTCTCTCTCTCTCGTGTTTTTCAGTACTGAGGGTTGAACCCAGGACCTTTGCACTGAGCTACATCCCAAGCTTATTTTACTACTTAAAATTTTGACACAGGGTCTTGCGTAGTTACCCAGGCTGGGCTCCAGTGTAATAATTCTCCTGCCTCAGCCTCCTAGAGTGCTGGAATGACACATGTGCACCTGGCTGTCCTGTCTCTTGTTTAATAGTAGTCATGTGGATGGTAAGGCAGTGACCCTGAGGCCCAGCGCCCAGGGCCACTGCGTCCCCATGGCAGACGGTCACAGGGCTTATGTCTGGCCAGGAGCAGCTGATGGTCTCCTAGGCCCTGTGCTGTTCTCTTTCCCCCCACACCTGAGGATGCTCTGCACACCTTTCCTGCTTTGTTTGCCCTGCTGGAGTAGAAATATTAAGACTCATCAGGGAGCAGCATTTTGAGGAATCTGATCCCAGCCTCTAGGGAGCTCACCCCAGGCTTGCTGTTTTGCAACCACAGTTCCTAGAGTGAAACCTGTGGTGGTACTTGCCTGTCATTCCAGCACTGGGAGGCCCAGACGGGTTGGCCCCCGAGTTGGAGCCCAGCCTGGGCTACTCAGTGACTTAGGGAGACTCTGTGTTAAAATAAAAAATCAAAAAAGGAGCTGGGGATGCAGCTCATTGCTTAGTTTCCGGCTTCAATCCCCAGTGGTGCAAACAGATACAACCTCAGCTGCCCTGTGTGAATACTTCTGTCCTGGCAGGGTGGGCCCTTGTTCTGGTAGAAAACTGAAAATGTGTCCAAATCCCCCAAGCGCCCTCCAGCAATTAGAAGACCCATATTTCAGCCTGGGCTTCCGGGGACGCCGCTTCCCGGAGAGGCCAAGCTGCTGTGTAGGTTCTGGTCCTGGCTTTTGCACTTGTTCAGAAACTTCACCTCCACCCACACCCTAAGCCCTGTGCCCTCACTGTGGCGTCTGCAGAGTGGAGGTGGGAGACACC